CCTGCCTGCAGCAGGAGAGTACTGTGAGGTGGATCTGACAGCTGAAAATGTCAGGCCTTCAGACAGGATGGATGAGGAACAGCCTGCTGAGTTTGCAGCAGAGGCCTATTCTATCGTCAGGCTCAACACTGAATATGAGGCCTCTGCTCCTCAGGGACCAGTCTGAAGTCTGGCCAAAAACAATCCAAACATTATTCAAATTATATTAACCCTTTTGCATTTGGAACATGCATGGAACCAGTTTCCTTCTACCAGGAGGAAAGAATAATAAACATTTAATTTTGTCATGTGCCAGTAACCTTTGGCTAAGTTCTTCAAAGCTTCACGATTGGAACAATGAAAGTTTAAGCAACATAAATGTGCTGGTTGTATGTCGCGGGGAATAGTGAATCATATGTTTGTTTGGTTTTCCATGCTTTACGATGTATTGTTAACAGTCTGAAACCACCTCCTCTTTCATTGTGACGATATTGTTTTTCTCCCTGGATTTTGCCTTGAGTAGAAGAGATGCATGAATCTGACCTAAGCAGCAGCAGAATAACCATCACGTAAATGGTAATATTATACTGTATGAAATAAAAAATAAGGTGACCAAATAATACAGTTTTATTACGTGCTAGATGGACACAAGAAAAATAGCAGAAAATAAAATACTTTGTTTGGACAAAAAGATTCTTCTTTTATAACAAGATTGTGCTTCAGACCTTGTCACAAAATACTGATTGCAGTATATAATACATTAAGTACAATACTGTTTGTAAACTTAAAATAAAAAAAGGATGTTTCTAACAAAATAAAAAGTTTTTCAATAAGTTATAAAACATCTTGTATAGAGGCAAAACCAGATATGTTGTGAAAATTCAAGTGAGGAAGCCAAATGTCTCATTTGTCTGAAACCCTTTATAAGTTATTTTTAAATGACATCTACATCCATTTTCTTTCCATATGATGGTAGTACAGTTGATGAAAAGTGCTTCTGAAATAACACTGAATTTATACTGGATGAACCTCAGGCTCACCTCAATTGATAGATTTAGGGTATTTTTTGATACCCCCTCTGTACAGCAAACAACATACAAGGTCAACCAACATATTGCTCATGCTCACCATTCAAATCTTTTTCCTCTGGTGCAAAATTTTGCATCACTCTTTTTGAACCCAAAACGAACCACAGCTAACAGTCCAACAGGTTTAAAGGGAAAAGGAGCAGTCGTTGCAGAACTATTGCCGATACACCTGCTCCATTAACATCATGCAGTTACTTTCAGAACATGGGAATCACATTCTGCACTGGAAAAAGTCCTGGAGGCGTATCAGAGATCGGAAAGGTGTGTTATCTACAAGTCTTACTCCCCAGTGTCACCCCAGGCTGCCCTGTCAGGATGGCCTGGCCCTCCTCTTCACCTGCGCAATCTGCTTCTGCAGCTGCTCCTTCTCCAGCCTGAGCTTCGCCTCCAGCACCAGACGCAGGGACCCCAGGCTCTCGTGGATGGCCGCAAAACCTTTCGACAGAAGAACAGCGTCTCTCCACAACGACACACTTGCCAAAATATTTCCCACTACCCCTACCCCACCACGGAGCGAAACTGGCTTTTACTAAACAAATGGGTTTGTGTTAGTGAAATTCACACAAGCTCCTAAAACATGCATCAGATAAGTGTAACTGTAAGGTAATACCCATGTGACATCAATTAGTACGCAACTAATGCTTTAATAATATATCATTGGAATACTGCACAGCACTGGTGACTGTAGCAGACTGAAGTGCTGGCTCTTTTTTAACTTGATCTCCTCTCATTATACGGCTTAAGACTCCAATAAACAAATAAGTTTTATTTATTAGAAGGTAATTTTCTTTTTGTACTTTCCTTGACTGATTTCAGTTCCTACTGTTTCTATACCTACAGTACTATATTTGCTTTCCAAGCTAATTTGTTAAAAAGTGATACAAAAAGGTTCTCTTTGGGATAATGGCTGGTTAAGAGCAGATTTAAGAATCGAAAATGCATATTCTAAACAAATTCACAATGTAAAACCTAGGGTGAAAACAAAGCAGCAACTAAGATTCTGCGTGGAAGGGCTTTTCAGAATCGTAGATAATATGGAACTACTGTAGCTCTCCCACACACAGTCTTCTTCAAAGAAACAGCTGGATGAAATCCTGGGAGGGAGCAATTAGCTGCTAGCAAACAAACAATTAAGATGGGCAGAATGTCCTCCTCTGGCTTACAGCCATGCTTCTGGTTCCTAAATCTGACAGGGCAGGGGAAGTTAGATTACCTCCTGATGCAGAAATGGGTAAACTCCGTGAGGGAAGCTGATGACTAGTTAGGTTTCTAAGGAAGTTTCCACAATCCCTGTGTCGCTAAGAGGATTGCGTTCTCTGCTTACCAGTGTTGGTTTCTGCTCTCATATTCTCCACCTCCTCCCACAGCTGCTTCTCGATTTTTGTTATTCGGGCGTTTAACTTCTCCTCTGCGTGCTTCACCCTCTGCAACCCCATGTTCATTTTTTGTGTCTCCTCAATCTTATCGAGCTTGGCAGAGAGTTGGCTGTACTTCTCTTCCACAATTCTGTCATTGCTGTCCTGCAACGGGAGAGCAAAGAGGTTTTATTACAGGCAACAAACAAACAGGATATTCCTAAGAACTGAGCTCTGCGGTCTTTCGTCTATAACAAATTTAACAATTGAGAAAAGTCAACAGGCAATTCTAATATCTTTTAAACTGTAAGACGCTATATTGAAGATACTCGAGTGTCTAAATCCTCCTTGATTTTTATTGGGATTTAAGCGGGTAAGCTTTTAAATGAGGGGTTATGTTTTTCATGATTTTATTTTCTCTATATAATTTTCTAAAATCAATTTACATTCTTTCTCAACCAACAATAGAAAGCAAATATTCCAAAGCTAAATAAACAAATATAGTGTATATAGTGTTTTTGTCTGTGTTTATTTTCAGGAACCGTTATACTGGCTCCTGAATCTGGAAATATGAACAAATCACTGAACACTAGGATGGACTGGAATTATGCTGAATGCACAATTCCTCTTTGCTCTGTGCCTCTGGGATAAGCCTTGGCTTATCTAGAATACGTACTGTTGGTTCTAATAGTGGAAGGATATGCCAAATCAGACCTGTCCTAACTGAGAAGGCTAATTATATTCTTACAATAGTGGTCTTTATGAGCCCAGAGAGTTCCTCAATCTTGTGAATGACCTCCTTTGCTGTATTCTCCTGTTCCTTCTCCAGCCAGGTTCGAATGGACATCATTTGTCCTTTCAGTTCATCAGAGACTATTTTTAACCTACAAGAAACAAGATAGGAGAATAAAATGCTGTAAGATACTGCCTATAAAAACATTGATTTTTTAGAGAAAATTAGCCAAGCCAAAGGAAATAGAATTCATACTCTTCCTGAAACCAATAAAATGAAGTTTCACTTCATGTTGTTTATTTAGAGTCCATGTTCTGCATTTTCTTCTCCTATTCAGCCCTCATTGACTATCCTCTGCAATGCTTTCCCTCCTGCCTTGACTTCTGCTTTTCCTATGTACTGTACATCAGGAGCTACTTACTTTGTGTCCAGCAGGTGGAGTTGGTGACCAGTATCTCCCTGTGAAGCTTTTATCTTGGCCTCCTGGAGAGCAGCTGACTGTTCAATCTTACTGTACACAACAGAGATCTGTGTAACAGGGTATTAAACAACAGTGAGAAAGTTAAAGCTAAGCTAAGCCCAAACAAAGCAACTGCCCAATTCCTAAACTCATATATGAAACATTGTGGAAAGAATGTAAAAATTTCCCATTGTATAACAAATTCATCCATTTTAGGGGTTGTGCATACAGTATACAAGTTTATACAACACATCTGTTGCCTTTATTTGAGTATATCTGTATGGGCAGATGTGGAAACAATATGAAAATATATTGTTCTGCTTAATCAGTTCAAAATGCTGTAATTTTTAAAACCCTAAGTGGACCTATCTACCACACCATAGGAATACTATTTCCTTCTATATAAAGTAGAAATATATTTCTAAATGAATGATAAAATGTACAAAAATATGGGAGCTTTGTGACATTTCAATTCCCATTTCTTTATGATTATGTTATTTTTTGCAACAGTCACCCAGAATCCATTCTCTGCAATCATGACAAGGCTCATGGAAAGGTGGCTATAACAACTATTGCAAGATGGCAGCACTAAAAGAAAATAAGATGTTTCATATTTCATGTCACTTTTTTTTATTTTCAAAGTCAGTGATGATCATCAGATCGTAACTGATGCCTATAGTAACATTAAAGAATGCATTCCCATGATGAGCATGATAAAATGCACACGAGAAACCTAAAGCAAAGCAGAAATAAGACCTGGGAAACCTCTAGAGATTAACACTAGATGGAGCCCTTGTCTTAACAACCTTACTCTACCTACCAGAGTGTCACTCTGGCACTACAGTTGGATGAAAAAAAAATCTTTACACTTATATAGCAGCTTCTGGACACTCCATTCAAAGCACTTCACAGGTAAGGGGGATCCCCTCCACCACCACCAACGTGCAGCCTCACCTGGATGATGTCACGGCAGCCATAGTGCACCAGTACACTCAGCTATTAGTGGGCAGGAGGATACAGAGATGAAGCCAATTCATAGATGGGGATTATTAGGAAGCCATGATTGGTAAAAGCCAGGTGGAATACTTGTCCAAGACACAGGGGACAACATCCCTACTCTCTTCAAGAAACACCCTGGGATTTTTAATAACCACAGAGAGCCAGGACCTCGGTTTTACATCTCAATCAAAGGCGGAGACTTTTTTTTACAGTATAGTGTCCCCATTATGGTGGGACATTAGGACCCACACAGACTGCAGGGCGAGTGCCCTCTACTGGCCCCACTAACACCTCGTCCAGCAGCAACCACACCCAGAACCACACCTGCTGAGCTTCAGTGGGCAGCCACATTCTGAGTTGCAGGGTGATATAGCAGCTAGCTAATGTAATGTTTTGACTTTTGCTGTGATGCACTTCACCTGCTGTTATGTTTTTCATCCCCCCTTATCCAGAAAACACAATATGATTAGTATTTGTAGTGGTCTTCATTTTAAATTCCAGCTTTTCCAAGCTTTCTTGAGTATTTTGCAAGGTGAGCTGTGCATCCACGAAAATGGTGAAGATGCAGCAGAGAGCTTTGGAAATAATCTATTTCTAGATAATTTACTATTGTTATCTGACCATCTGTACCGCTATATACGTTTCACTCAAAATTGATTTGGTTTAGCTATAATTGGATATTTTTATACTCCACTTCCGTTTTTGCACTGCCATCGTAGTTTTATGTAAAGTCACTGTTCCCAAGTCTTGTACTTTTGTTACACATTTTTGCACATTCAGCAATGGTAATATTAAAATAAATGTAGGCTGGGGGACATTTACGCACGCTCTTTCTCTTTCACTTGACATACCTTAACATCTACATCCTTTATCTGGGATTCCAAGGCAGCTTTTGATAATTGCTGGTCTTTGCCAAGGCTCTGGATCTGCACGTTTGCAGATCTGATGTCGGCTGACAGTCGGGCGATGCTAGCATCACACCTGTTAAGTGGTTACAGATGAGCTTTTCAGCATTGGTTCCACCAAAACTTTACAAAAGCAGATAGAAATGGCTCTATGTCTTGCAAATGGAAAGACAACGACAGTATAGCTTTCTGTTGTTCGTACTCTACTTATGCTTCTCCAAATGTTTTTTTTTTTATTATGGCAATGTTTATGTAAATGTCCCCAAACAGGTTCTTTGTTTAACACATAATAATAAATGTTGCTTAATGTCATGTGAGTGAACTGGGAAACTTCCACTTACAAGACTGGCAGCTGATTCACAGTCGCCCTGTAATACAATGTCAGCGTTGTCTAGAGCTGGTTATTCAGAAGCACCAGGTTGGCAAAAACTGTGGTGCATATGATCTAAGCTTTTTGTGAAAAAAGGAAGAGTGTGTGTGTCACTAGGAGAACACTCAAACACACCCTCTGGTGAATGCCAGAGTTTATCTGTTTATCTCCTGTGTGCCGGAGGATGAGTGCTTTTAGAAGCTGCTGATGTACGCCGTGCCATTGTTAAAGCCGTCAGGCAGGTCACACCCAGATTAACCAGTTATGCCACACCCGTTCTTCCTTGCCCATTGACTGCACAGCTCAGCTATCTTGCAGGTCCACATACCAGCGCTTGATTAGCAAAAGAAACACAACACCTTGCACGCAACAGGCCGTTTGAATAAAGCTGCTAGTTCTTCTGTTTCTGAATGCGTTTCTATGCATGTATATCTTTATCAGACATGATTTGCTTGTTATTAAAAAGAAAGCATGGTGACCTACAGTATACAGGACATCCCCACTGATGTTCCAATGATGATATATGAATTATCATCATAAATTGTAGTTGCTGTACACCCACCCATTTTTAGGTTTACATTTTTAGGTCCCTTTTAGAACGAGGTTACTACTGTATGCAAGCACAGCTTTTTTCTTCACAGACATAGCACCTTGTGCCTTGCAATTTAAGAAAATAAAATTGAGGAAAACCTTGAAGGCATGCTGGTAGGTTAATTGGGTCCTGGCAATATTGGCCCTGGAGTGAGTGTGTTTGTGTCTGTTGTTTGCCCTACATTGGATTGAAGTGATGTCCAGGGTATACCCCGCCTTGCGCCTGTTGCTTGCTGGGGTAGGCTCCAACCCTGCTACAACCCTGAATGAAGTGGTTAGAAAAGAAGTGGATAGATATATATTGCATATATTACTTGTGAAATGTGTTAAATGCACCCGAAATGTTGGTATCTTATGGTCTTTACATACTGTACCAGATCTCTGAAACTACAGTATATGAGTTTTTGCTAAATCTGATCAGGCCCTTATTGCCATCTCGCAGGTGGAACAAATACCATCTGTAGTAAAGCTGTCCCTGTTCTGTCAGTCGACAGAGCGAGCAGACTCACCTGGCAATCCTGCCTCGCAGGTCACCCAGGGTAGAGACCTGGTGCAGCTCCAGGCTCCTGACTGCAGTGTTGGCACCATAGGCAACTCCGTCCCGGGTTCGGATCTGTTCCCGCAGAATCTAACCTCACAAGCAGAACAGAGTGGCTTACTCTGTGTGTGATGGCAGGAGAACAACTGCTCCGATTTGCGCTAGCTGTGTACAGTGGTACCAGCTTCCCGCAATAGAAACATCAGTCCTCTGCTGGTGTTCCTTTAAAACAAGGCAGTGCCTTTAAAGTTCTAGAGTTACAATAGTGACAATCGCAAAAAAAGTTGGCTATATTCAGAGCCATGATTCAGATCAACTTAGGAAGAGAGTAAAATTCTCTTAAATGGATGAGAATAAAATGCAAATACGGTAACAAAAATCACAGTGAGCTGCTGTACAAGTGGGGAGGATGGGGGAAATTGCATCTTCGTTGTGAGACAGATTTGGGAGAAGCTCAGCAGCATGGGAGCAGCAAGAAGATCCTATAGCACCCTTCTGGAGGACGCAGCACAACCTCACCTCGATGTTTGTATTTATCCGTCGGACGATGGCCGTGATGTTGAAGATGTGCTCCTCCAGGAGCCGCCTGGCCGCCTGGTCCCCCCAGTCTCTGCTCAGCGCCCCCTGCAGGCCGGCGACGATCTCCTCCTGGAGGTGGAAGGCCTGCTCCACCAGGGCAGCGGTGGCCTTCTCTCGGGGGCTGGACCTGCTGTCCGACTGGCCCACGCTGCTCCGGGCGGCAGCTGGGAGCAGCGCCTCGTGGGGCACGGAGTGAGAAGACCTGCCTGAGCTCCGGGGCCTGCAGGGACAGGAGAGAAGAAATCACCTGGATTTCGGTCTAACCTGCCTGTAATGAACGCACTCGGGCAAAGTGGGGGAAAGAAGTGTGCCCTCCTATATATATTTCAGATCAAAAGCACTATATAAATGCTCTAATTTAATAATGGGTCAAAATAACCACTCACCAAGGATAATAACCAAAACATCCTTATTATGAGCTCTAGGGTTCATTTGCTAAGTGTCACCCTGCGCATATCCTCAGGATACAATAACAACCTTTCCAGCACACTGAAACATGTTTTACCTACAATGTAAAAACCTTATATTGATTTTTTCATTTTTCTATTGAGTATCAACATTAAACATAAAACAAGCAAAGGTTTAATATTCTTCCCCCAAAAAAGTTGCTCTAAAATCTCACATACAGACTAGAATAATTTTTAAAAGAATATGACGATCCTTTGTATTTCTATATAGTGCCTTTCGTCCCAAAGGATCCCAGAACACTTGCAACTTAAACACATTTTGAGAAATCACTTTCTTCCTCCAAGCACCTTCTTAGGTGTGGTTGCTTTCCCCTTACCTTTCTAAAGGCGCCAGTGATGGGAAGTTGAGGGTATGTCTTGGCATGTCGTTCTTCAGAGCTCATGTCCAGAGAGAAATTACATCAAATTAGCACAGCGGTTGTACAGTACAGTGCAACAAGCTCTGAGAACAAACCCACCCCAGCACAGGAGATGAATCACAATCACCTCTGAGTTTCGATGGGCCTCATATTAACTGTGCGCGTTGTGTTGGCATGTCTCACTGTCTACAGTACAAAACACGAATATGGTTGGAGCCCCTGCTGCAAAAACAACAGCTCGGTCATTGATCAATAGCAGTCAACGGATGATGTTAAAACGGAACACCGATTTCGGTTTTTGCAAAATTTAGAGTCCGATACACTTGGAAAAGACAATCTTGCAATCCTATTGGGTTTGAGTCAGGGTTTTAGTGTAAAAGGAAACTGTCTTTTTCATCTGGTATATTTGTTCAGAGAAAGTACCACGCTTGGTCAAAAAACACTGCTTACGTTAATTTATCAAGCATCACAGTCTGCTACAGAAATTGTTGACATGACATGTTGACATTAGATGTTACATTTGTTAAGTGGGTGTCTAGCTATGCGCAGTGAAGAAAAAATAAACACATCATGAAGGTATTCCATATATCAGGCAAGACCAATAATAACAGTGGGAACTAAAACCAGTTCAGAATGCAAACTGGATACGAGGCAAATATATTTCATTCAATTCCATTTGTGGGTTCACATGTGAAAATGACACGAACCAGACATGACCGGACCAAACACAATTCACCCTTAAATAACACACCAAAGCAGCGCAAAGACTGACTCGGTATTTCTACTAACAATGAGGACGCGTACAGTATTACCCGAGCTTTTAATGGACGCCGTTTTCATTTCGGTGAGAGTACAGCATGCAAGTAGCCGCAACCAAAACTGAAATTATGGGGATATAAAGATAAAAACGCGATACAAGACACTTAATACTTACATTCGCCACTCGATTAAGAAAAATTGGACATGACTAGTTAACACACATACATATATATACATCGGCATGCAAGTACAATATAGCTAGGAATCAGCATTCAGTAGATGTTCCATTACATCAAAAATGTTCTCCATACCCGATGTGCAATAGAGCCCTGTTACATTAAGCTCTCCAGTTCAGAATTTCTTTTCAAAACCAAACAGGTGTTTTTTTTTTCAGATCAATATTTGCGATTTATGCAATATCCTGTGAGTTTATAATACTGACAGGTTTACAGTCGTGGTGCTTTACTTCCACTAGTGACGCTGTTGCCCTGGTAACCATAGCACCAAGGGGCGTGCCTTGCTTTGCTCTGAAAAGTAAAATAAAAGACAATAATAACAACAATACAGCAACTAACACATCCCCTGAAGTTAATTGAATAAGAGAAATACAATTATTTGGATGTATATTTATACAAAATACCTTATGGGTTTTCATGTAAGCTGGTAATTTTAACATAATTGACACTTTCTAGGTATTGTCACGGATGTTTTTAGAAGCCTAAGGGTTTAAAAAAAACTACATTTCCCAGAAACTCAAGCGCTGCTGCTGGCGCTTTCCTCCCGGCAAGAATGATGTCATCCGGTAGGATTTCCCTCAGGAGTGACGCGATGAGATGGCTATCCCATTGGCTGCAGAAAACACGAATTCTCCATTTATGGATTGTTTGCCTGGTTTGTACCATTAGCTGCATGAACACTGAGTGTAACTGTACTGATCAAAGGCAAGAAGTCAGACTAGTAGATGAATCACGTTTAAGACACAGAGACGATCTCCGGTTCTCAGCCATAACCATGGACATGGATAAAGTTTGGTACTGATGAGATCATCCCCGTTGGAGAACTGGAATTTAATGTGCACCTGATTGTTTTTTTTTGTTTACGTTCTTGAATACAAGTTGTACGGATATCTCGTTAAAATATAAAAGATTTTGAGACAACGCCTTCGCTAAAAAGGGGGAATAATACTTAAAGAAAAAATAAAAGCCAAAGAATGGTAAGTAAAACCGTTTCGTACTTTAAAGACAAAACCCTGTTTTTAGTTTCACATATGGTTGCAACGTTGAGATGCCCGTTCTTATGGGTTTCACCATGAAGGTTTTGAAAAATAATTAAATCCACATTTACTCATTTAAACTAGGCTTATTATCTATACAGGTTATGCTATTCTTTATCCGCGGTTTGGAGTACAGGAGTTAGCCTGCTTTTGTACAGTGTACGAGTTAAGTAACTAACTGCTGAGATGTAAATGATTCACCTCGCTGCAAGAAGACTAGAGCATGGTAATATTATGAATTAGTTCTTACGTTCAGCGCGTTACTGACGCTCTAAAAAATGTTTTGTAACTTATGTATCGTGAAATTAAATAAAATGGTAGAAATCTTTTAGCGTATTCTAAACTGGACGAGAAAGTAGACGTGCCAGCGCTCATATATATATACACGATCAACAAAGTCTCACACTTTCCTTGAATATACCCTTTTTTAGTTACAGTTACTGTGTTTTTCCTCTTTGGTCATTATCTTCTCCAGTAATTGAAACAGATGGAAATTCGCGGTTCAAGTTCAATGTTACGGCGCGTTGTTAGGTGTTTGCTGCAGACGATGATGGAGAAAGAGTCGCCGCACAGATTCCCGTAATGAAGTTAACCCCGGCTTCGTTTTTTCGTGCCCTGCTGCCACATCGGTACCTCCAGGCATTACCCCCCCTCCCCCAAAACCAAGCAGTTGAGACATACTGTATCCAGCATAAACCGTTTTACAGCGGGCCGAGAATGAAACCCCACGATCCGCTTGAGTTCGGGGACTCTTTCTCTTTCTTCATTTACAAACCCAAGAGCGCAGTAAGACTGTAGCCTTATTCTAAACCAGTGCGTCCAAGGTTTCAACGGGTGTGGAAAGATCGCTAATCCTCAATTTGGTCTGCCTCTGTAGTCTTGTGGAGAGGGGCTTTATAAAGATAGTGTACCTGTAGCTGGACTATTGAAGGAGGTCTTCTCAGCGGTGCTCTGCAGGATCCGCGAGCGACGCGCGTCCGACCTGTGTTGAACTTATTCGCGGACAGGTTTTGTTTATTTTTTTCTCGGGACACACCAATGTACAGTAGGATAAAAAAACATCTTCTTCAAACCTGTTTGGTTGATAGCGACGTCGGTGGTGGGACTTTAATTACAACAACTGGATTCATACCACAAACGTATTTTTTTAACGGAAAGGAACAAGGAAATTAATTAATTTGATCCAGCATGTGTGATTACTATTTTATACAACCTATTATTCGGACAGAAAGTATGCAAATTAAGGTATTTTATCCACGAGTATTTAAAGACACTTTGTGAAACATTTCACTTTAAGGCGGAATTCTTCAGTTGTTTTATAAACACAATTACTTCAGATTACCTCTGACGTCCTTCTGTAAAGCACAATAAATACTCTGGGGGCGTGAGACAGGAGCAATTAAATTGAATCCCGTCTCGATTGTGGACTTTTGAGAACTGTAGCACAGTCGCAGATTAAAGCTGTGATAAATGGCACACTTTGACCAGAGGCTAACGTGAGTTAAAGGTGTCGCTACAGAAACTAAAAATAAACATGGTCCCAAACCACCACCGACTAGGGTGATTAGATCTTGTCCATCTTTGTACAATTTTGCTTTTCGTCTCATGTCTCCACCTGTAAAACGCATCTTTCTAAGATGTGTCCTATTGTAATGTTGAACACATGTGTGAACAGCAACTTACAATTTTAATTTCACAGTATGGCACTCCAGACGACAAAGCACTCCTGCGTTTGCAGTTAAAGGTCTTCAGCTGTGAACAGAATTGAAGAAACGTTCCTGCTATGTTAAAGTAACCAGAATTTGCACAAGGGGGGAAAATGTTCTGAATGTTGAGGTATTCCATGGGTCCCCATCTCCTAATATCTCTCTGCTCACTAATCGTCACATTAAAAGAAGTTTGAGCTGAAACGTGTTGGTGGCAAAGACTGGATTTTAGCTAGCTTTAACTCTTGAATTGGTCTGAGAAAAGAATACATGACAAACGAGAGAAGTATTGAATTCAGTCAAGAGACAATGACCACAGATGAGCTGAAACCTGTAGAGCTTCATGGTTGTCTTAAGCATTAGCCAATCAGGAATATTTACAGCTTTCGCAGCCTGACCAGGTGGGCTAGCTGGTCCCAGTGTAGCTGAAAACCTGCTGTACCTTATTCTAGCAATTGGCAGTTTCTCTTCCCATGCATGTCTAAAGAACACGGGTATCCAAGAGATCTGTAAAACAACAGAACTTCAGATCATACTGGCAACTGCCGATCTAAAGTGAATACTGGTGTAATTGCTCAGAAGTTAAAAAGTGTATCCTCTGTAATGTTCAAAATATCGGTTAGACTAACAATAGCTGGACATTCGCCAGATAAAAACGTGTTCAAAATGGGTTTAGTTATTAAATCCTTTAGTCTGGGCTTGGGACAAAATGCTAGAAAGCTCAAAGATGAAAGGATGGTATTTGAATCGATCTGGCTTATCTGGTTTTAAGTGTCTTAATGGGTCTTGGTGACGGCAGCAATTGACAACACGATTTTCCAGTTTAGTCCTCATTCCCAGGAGATTCCTGTCTGGCCAAGAGACAAGGCTGCTATTTTGCTGGAAGGTGTAGGGATTTGTGAGGAAATGTAGCTGTGGATAGCATCCCTGTGTGCAGAAATGAAGGTCTTGGAATGAGGCCAGGCAGTGGGGTACGCAGTCTGGTGAACTGGTCTCTTTCCTCATTCCAGGAAAGAGCTGCATTTTCCATCACAGAGTAAACTGATCCCAGGTCGAGCAGAGCTACCGGCTGGAAACCAACCCCTATTCAGTTTCACTGCGATGCTAGCAGGCACATTATTGTCCACCTCACTCACTGGCTCTGCAAGCACATCAGACATGACCGTTAGTTCACTCAAAGGTGAAGTGGTTAGAAATTCTGGGGAAACTATCGAGAAAACATTGTGTGGTGCCTTTTGTAGGCTCAGCTGAGTCTCCCCTTTGTGATATAGAAGTTATTGTAACAGTCAGACGGTGGAGAAGTGATCTGGTTGGCAAATGTTCAGATTCTTTCCCGGTATGTTGCCTCCTCTCTCTCCCCAAGGTTGTTTTTTGAAGGAGAGGTTTTTGTCCATGAAATATGTGCAGCTGACATGCACGAGAACTACAAAAAGAGCAATCTGTATTTTTCGGGGATAACGTAGCCCTTCAGTAATTTAATCTGTCCTTTGCTATAAGAACTGCAGGCAGGACTGCAGTGGAGTTTTATCAGACTCTTCGCTGCTCTGAAGGTACTACGGTGAGCTTGTTACTGTAGTTGTGTGTCACAAGCCAAAAGGAACACAAAAACCGGGATCTGAAATCACGACTCTGACATGGAAATTGGTTCTGGAAAAGGAGTCAAATCTGTGTCTTCAGTGGCAGATGCTGGAGAATAGCAGAAATGTTGTGTTTAGGAAGGTCGTTCCTCAAATCTGTGCAAATGAAGACTAAATTAAAATGTGCAGGAGGTCAGCGTGGGGAACAGAGCAGTTTTTGTGCTTAAAGGCTTATCTGTCTCAAGTACTCAGCAAGGGCGTTTAAGTGACTTAATTTATATACTTAATAACTGTAATAGTCTATGCATTTAAACTGTTGTGTCTAAGCTAGTTTGTGGGGAAAAAGTATTTTTGTTGTTAATTGATAACATTCTGAGCTTGGCTTCCCAGAGCCAGAATCGTTCACCTCCCCACCGGTCAGAACCTCAGAAATACTGTCCGTACAGCAAACTGTATTCTGAAATTCCCAGGAGGGGCTGAGCAATGTGATCAGTAATGAGGAGTCGTTTTGGAGGCCGGTAGCAGCAGTACCTGATACAGGTTTGCCTTCCTCGTGATTTCACAGTGCAGGGAAACAGGTCGGGGGTGGAGCTGTGCACATGGCTGTGTGTGCCTGCCTCACCTGACTGACGGGGGATCTGCCGGCTCTGTCAGATTACAGCAGCAGCTGGTGGAAGTCACCTGATGAAGGTGTCTGGCAAGATTTTGGGTGAAAGGTAAACCCTATTGTCATGCGTGCTTTTCACTGGACTTGTTTCTGTCCTGTTAATGAGCCTTATACACGGCAACATTAGGCTTAGTGTAACAGAGAGGTTGCCGGCTCCGGTCCTGGAGAGATTTATGGGCCACCCTGATATCAACAAGTTCTCAACACTTGAAGTAAATCTGTTTTGACTGCTGAAGCAGGTGATTTTCTCAGTTTAAATATCATATAAAAATGAACACTCCAACACCCTGTAGCTCTCAGTGACTGTAGCTGGCTCTTTTTGACACAGTTAAATCAATTTATCAAATTAATTGGTCTAAATCCACAAGTTTTCCAAGTCTTTACATATTGCTGATTTCATGATGACCTATAAGAATATGTGGACAGTGGCTCTCTGGGATTTCACAAATGAATTAAGGTATTGCTAGTTAATCTTTTTATAGCCTAAGATTGGGAAAAAATTGTCGCAGCAAAAAAAAAAGGATAAAGCATCAATACATGCTTGGAAAATTAAAAATATCAAATCTGGGAACACATATCAGAACAACACAGAGCTCGTGCTCCCATTCAGGACAAGCAAACAAGCGAAGGCCTTGTTTTAAAGTGATTGACAGCTGGATCTCCCGCTTCCTGGTTTACTGCTTAATAACCTCAAGCACTAAGGCAAGATAAATGGCGTGGTAAACTGGCAGTCATCCTCACTCATTCCCCGCTGATAAAAGGCGTTTTACACGGCTACTATTCTGTGCGAATGGACTGAGGCGGCTTTGAACACTGAACATAAAAATCGTCTTACTGGGAGGCTGCTGTGAAAAATATATGGGCATCTGCATGTGCTGATTGAAATCTTTATAGGCTGCTGCTGGAGAGGGGAGTGCCGAGAATGGATTTTATAACTTTACTGTTCCCGTCACTGTGGCTGCAGAGCTGCCAGAATCGCGCCGGCCATGT